TACTTTGCTATAGGAATTCAGTTCATGATGAGATGATTATCAATTTTCCTTTTTTATGTAAATAATCCACAGTAGTAAGTTTTACTACATTTATATATATTTTTTACAACGAAAGGAAATCGATATATCAAACAAACGCCCTATGCGCGGACAAAAAATGCCCTCACCCTCGCCCGCGGGGGGATCAGGACCACGGCAAGGAAGATGTTTTTTTACTGAGTTCCCTATCAATAATGAATAATCAAACTATCTCCACTCAAAAATAATTGTTATACTTTAATTTTTTGATTTTTTAATTTTTTAAATCTTAATTCAAATTAATGTGAAGAAAAAGGATACAATTCAGCCTAAAACAAACGGAGGCAATAATTAATAAGCCAAAAAAATTAAACTTAACCGCTCAAAAACATAACATATTATAACAAGCGCGCAAACCGATATCAAAATGCCCAACGCTGAAAAATAATTTGACAAGAAAAAACATGATGAGCCTGGATGTCACTATGAAATGGTCGTGCAAGAGTTTAAAAAACGAAAAATGAAAAACAATAGGAGAAGAATTAAGTGGAGGAAACATGCCTTGTTCGACCGACTTGATTTGTGAGAGGCTGAGAGGAGAGGAGAGGAGAGCAGTGGAGAACAAGGAAGAGAACGAGAACTGATTCAGGCCGCTCTGCTCTGCGAGAAGTCAAGGAAGAAACTGGAATGGTTTTCTCAGGGTTTTCAAGGGTTTAAATAGTTGATAATAAACAAAATAAAAATATATTTTGTTTATTTAAATTAGAGAAAATTGCACTTACCGTATTTGCAGTGTGGTTGGTGGACAGTGTACTTAACCCAAATTATAAAAAATATATATTTATTTAAATTGTGGAAATTGCACTTGCCATATTTCCATATTTTTTTAAGGCTTCATTTAGTTTGTTTGTAGCTGTAAGCTAATAGATGAAACAATTGATATTTATTATTTTATAATTTGAAATTATCATATAAGTTGATTTTTCTAGAACATCTTATCCAGCCTTTTTTTTTTTGGTAAGCAATCCTACCCATCGAGCTGTTGAAGGAGAAAAAGTTATAAAATGATAAAATCAATTAAATAAAACACACCCTTACTCTTTTATTTATGTTAGGGTTGAAGTCAATTATAGTCCCTCTACTTTCAATTTTCATTCATTGTCCTCCTTGTTTATAAATCATTCAAAGTCCTCCCTTTACCCTTACAAACCATACTATTGTCCTCCTTCTACTTTAATTTTCTGTCACATTTACCTCCTTCCCCTAACACCATTTAATGATTTTATAAATGGTGTTAGAGGAGGGAGTAATGATGTTACAAAGAATTACTAATCAATTGTTTGATGCATTTACTAATGTAAAGAAAGTAACCAATCACACATCCTAACTCTAAACGCTCTTGCTTAACTTAATATTCTATTTGAAAAAGTACTAAGACATTAGCAAACGAATCTATTTTATGCCAGAAGTGTGGTAGATCTATTAATTCCAAAGATAAAAATTTGAGATTGAAGCAAAAGCAAAAGCAAAATGTTAGCTTTGCTGAAATTGTAGAGATTCTAAAGTTTTCTAAATAACAGCGAGAAAATGTATTTAAGAAAATATCCAAAGAAGAGGTTCAAGTATCAAACATAATGAAGATGCAAAAATCATAGTTAATAATGAGATTTCGATCAATTATATTTCATCCTAAATAAAATGGAATCGAAATGATGTCATTATTGATGATGTTTTTCATATGCAAGAGCAAGTGATGTAACAAATGAAAATGAGGATCTTGAACCAAAATCCATTAAAGAATGTCAACTTGGGCAAAATGGATAGAGGTGATCCATGCAAAATTAAAAGGACAATTATTAGTATATCATTTGATTCAACACATTTATATACTCATTAAAAAATTATTATTTTTAAATTTGAATTCAAAACAGGAAAATTTTCAATTGCAAATTTTAACGGTTGAACTGGTAGGTGTTGGCAAGTGTATTAAATCAACGCATGTGCTAGTCATTTTTTGAATTAAATCATTAGAAAAACATCAAGTTTTTTGACTAATAGTCTAAATACCCAATAATGTAAAGTTTATTAGCTACAAATGGTATTTCTAAGAAAACAAAATGAGAAAAATAAGGTTGTGAAATAGAAAGCTAAACTTGTGCCTTAAGGTTTTATAGAAATACTTGGTATTGATTACGAAGAAGTACATTCTGTTGTGATGGATGGAATTATATTCACATGTTTTATAGGTCCAATCGTTTCTAAAAACCTTTAAATGCATTTTATAGATGTTATATGTCACGCCCCAGAACCTAAATCCGAGGACGTGGCAGACGCTGTGCACTATTAAGACGGGTCCCACAAATGCACAAGGTTCGAAACTTATCATATCACAATCTGATACCACCAAAATCTGAAGATCAAATTATAAAATTCTCTCTGATATCATAAAATCTTCAAATACAAGATCATGATTCATATCTAAAATTTATATCCAATTACAATATGGCTAGCCTTCTAATTCGTCACTTCCCGTGGTTTCCCCGTCCTCGGTTTCACTTCCTGAAATGGTGGACAATGAAAACTATGAGATAAACTCAGTAAGTAAATATGGATTGCCCTCAATTAAACTTATAGCATGCCAACAAGTACAATCACGAAAACAGATACAGTACGGGCACGAAATAAACGTCTCCTTTATAGGTCACGGCCAGTGTATAATCCCCACTAGCAGGGCCACGATTTGCTAGTGTATAACCCCCACTAGTTGGGTTGAACGAACCAGCTCTATCACTACATGTCGACATGTGCTAGCGTTTATAACCTCCCCCACTAGCAGGGTCACGAATAACATGACCACATCGGAGACAAAACAGGCAGAAGTTAACAGAAAAATCACGATTCACAATCACTTTCAGATCATCAGGACAGTCACTTAAATTTCAAGTAGGCATGCTCAATTTAGTGAAAAGTATAAAACATTTCACTTCAAATCAGTCATACTTGTGTAAAACGGGTTTAGTCCCACCACCACTTCAAAAACAAATCAAAACATGCTTTTAAAACAGTACAGGCATTACCATAAATTACTTACCTCACTTGCATAAAACCGAGCACTCAATTCACGTACTAACTGACAGAACGATCGGGAACCTAATCAAAATATTTCAAGAATTAATACCACTATCACAAATTCAAACTGAAATCATCAAGATCACTTTTAATCCCAATGTTATTCCTATCTATCAATCTCCACATGATCAAATATCTCCAAATTCGTTCTTATATCACAAACTAATCACTTAAATCCCCATTAATTGTTGGCTCTCGGGGTGTGAACAGTGTCGGTGAACAGTTCCGTGAACAGTAACTATGACGTGAACAGTAACCCCGACATGAACAGTAACCCCGACTTTCACAAATTGGCCAAAACACTAGCTAATCTCACGGGATTTTCTCCAAAAATCACAACAACCAACTAACACTCAATCACATAAATCCCACTTAAATTATTGCTTAAATCTCATCTTAAAGCTACCGAAATTATCCCCATTTTCTGCGGAATTTCGGACACACAAGGCAGCAAACAAAATGGACAATTTAAGCCTTAAAAGGCTGTCACATACCAGAATTTACAAGCAAGGAACCGGAGCTAGCAGATTGGGGAAGGCCGGTGGGATCTGCAGGGGGAAGCTCACGGAACTACCCAAAATTGGAGGAACAAGAGCAATTAAAGTAAACCCAAGCCACTTTAAGGAAAAACAAAGGGATTTAATGGCTGTTTCTTACCCAAAACCCAAGCAATTCGCCCCCACAACAAGAGCAGCCGGCGGACAGAGCAAAGCAGAGCAGATCCGGTTTCTGCAGAGAGGGAGGGGAAATTTCTGGGTTCTTTATGGGTTTTAGAACAAGAAAGGAAGGGGAAAATACCAAGCTTCCTTACCAATTTTCCAAGGCATGGCTGGGTTTCCCTTTTTTTTTTGGTTTAATACCCAATTTGGTCCCTAAACTTTCATTTCAAAACTTAATTCGTCCTTTAACTTCAGAAAGCACACAAACCGTCCTTAAACTTTATTTTTTCAGAACCCAAATGGTCCTTCCGTCACCAAAGTGCCCAGCTGGCACGTTAACTTGCCACGAATTAACACTTTTATTTCAGAAAAATTACGTGGAAAAAAAATGATGATTTGATAATTTTAATAAATTTAATTAAAAAAATAAACAATTACAATATTAACCCTCCCTTATCTTCAACCCTTATCCCTCTGCCATTTTTGTTCTTTTCCCTGTCTCCAGCACCGACATCGACACCAATGCCAGCAGCAGCATTCTTTCCCTTTCTCATTTTTCTCTCTACTCTCCGCTCTCCTCGTTCCTCGTTCCTCATTTCCCTTTTCTTTCCCCTTTTTTTTTTCCTTCTTTTCGTTTCTAGTTGGGGTTTAGAACCCATATTGGGATTGGGGCTTCAACCCAGATCAGGTTTGGAGTTTTAACCTATGGACTTGGAATTCCTGATTGATCAAAACCAAGGCGTCACAAGTGGTTACGAAGCAACAAACTTCGATAAATGACGCCGATCTGAAAGGTATGGCTCCAATCTGGATGAGCATCGATCTGTAATTCATGGAGGCTAGCAACAACAATGGCGATGGTGTGAAGCTTTGTGATGGAGCTCTGCATATGATCCATGGTATTTGGT